TATATAATTATTATAAAATTAATAATAATAATAATTTAGTTTATAGTAATAGATTTATTAATAAATTATCCCAAAATATAAATATACCTAATAGCATTAATTTAATAATAATAATAATAATATATAATGTATTAATTAATAGTAAAATTAATAAATTAATTAAAAATATTAACACCATGTTAATTAATTTATACCTTAATAATAATAAACTATTATTTAAAACAATTCGAATATAGAAGAATAAAATAATAATCATTATTAAAATAATTATTATTTAAATTAACTCAAATATAATAACTATTAAAACGCATATCATTATGATTCTAATTATTTAGAAAACAAATAATAATTGCCCTAATAATTGAAAATTGAAGACCAAGAAGTTTTATTAAGTGATTTACCAACATTTAAAAATATTCCAAACGAATATTATTTAGAATAGAATAAAGAAAATGGCTTTTTTAGTAACAATAAACTTTAATAATAACCTGTAGTCTTGATAAAAGATAATTAGTAAAATTTTTGTTATTAGTAGACTGGAATTAAAAATAGTTTTAATTAAATTTAAGTAGATAATAGCCTAATTAATAGAAATAGTATTTAATAATAAAATACACCTGTTTAATTAAAATAAATAAATAATATATATTAAAATAATTAAGTACTTAAATAAAATAATAGTGAAATTATGATTAGTTAATAATAAAAATAAGAAATATATAAATTTATTTAAATTATTAGAGAAAATCCTGAAATATACAATTAAATAAAATATATTATTTGAAATTAACTTAAACCTAAATATTTATTTGAAAAAAATAAATAAAAAACTAATTATATTGTTTATTTTATATAATAATAAATTAAAATATATTAATTTTTCAATTTATAATTTTATTTTTTGTAATAACAATTCTTTTTTAAATAAAAAGAATAAGAATTTTTTTTATTTTAAAAAAAACTTAAATAATAGTTTATAGTAAATAAAAAGCAAATACATTATATATATAACTTATATATATTAAAAAATCAATAATCATAAATATTATAGATGTATTTTTGAATTTCTTTATTAAAATATTTTTTTACTACTATCAAATTTAAAAAAACACTTTCAAAATAATTATCATTTTATATTTAATTGTTATTTATAATTAAAAAGTTATTAGGAATAAATTACATTAGTTAAAATATTGTTTAAACTGTTGAATACATTATATTTTATTTACATATTTCTAAATAAAATAATTAAAGTTACTATAATCTAATTATATTTTTAACAATTATAAAAACACTTACATCTTCATTTATATTTTCTAAACCAATAATAAGCCTAATATGGGTCAAACTTTCCGAAAAACTTAACTATTATATAAGATTTTAGATTACATGTTTGTCAAAGTTATTATTTTATTCAAAAGTTAACGACAATTCTGTTAAATTTTAACATTCTAATAATTTTTTTCCTAGTTTGAAAGAACTTTATACATCTAAATAAGAGTCTTTAGATAATTTTAATGAAAAAGAAATCAAATTTTAACTTTTTGATTATAAAATAGTTTATAAAAGTGTAGAAAATACAGGTTTATAATTAGGAAATTCACAAGCAAGCTTTTTATTTTATTACCAATTTTCTCCAAAATATTTTATAGCAAATTAATTTGCACCTTCATCAACTTAATCTTAGTTAATTTATTGATTTTATATATTTATTTCTTTGTTTTTATTTTATAATATTTTCTATTCGTTAGTTGAATGCTATTTAGGATTATTATTTTAGATTTTTTATTCAGTATTAATTTATAATAATTAATTTTAATCTATTACTTAAATAGTTTTTCCCTACATACAACCCATTTTAAATTAAATAAAATTTTTTGCTAATTATTTATTATTTTTAAAATAAGATAATTTTTTTTTAAGTATTTTTTATTATTAATAAAATATTTATTTTAAATTAGATTTTATCAATATTTCTATAACATTGTTAAAAATTAGTTATATATTTTTAAGTTTTTTATTTCAAGAAGTTTAATTAATTCAATCATAATAATAATAAAAAAAAAACTAATATATTTATTATTAATTATATTTATAAAAAATATTTAATATATATAATAAAAAAAATTATTAAATTTTATTAAATAAAATATAATTTATTAATATTAATTTTTTAAAGTAAACAATAAATAAATATATAATAAAATTATTAAAAGAGAAGGCTTTTAAAAATGAGTAAAGAAGTCTAGTAACAAAATAAATATTAATGTAATTATATAAATAATATTCCATTGTTTTTTTTTTAATTAAAAAAAAATAAAAGCACCAAATTATTAAACTAAATTTTATAGCAAAAATTAAATATAAAACAAATTAAAATTATTATGTATGCTCAAAACGCCTTAAGAAGAAAACCAATTGCATTCAACATTTTAAACATACTAAAAATCTGATTCTAAATATGTTATTTGCTCACGAAAAGGAATTTCTAGATAGTATGTACTTTCGAAATTTCAAAAAGATGATTAAATAGAAAATATGGAATTCCAAACTTCTGATAATTATAAGATATATAAATTTGATCAAGTTTTAAATGATAAGAGTTAAAAAAACTTTGAATTTGAAGTAACTGAAGTAGTTAATTAGCATATTTTATAATAAAAAAATGCATCGATTTTAATATATGGAGCTTCTTAAAGTGGAAAAAGTTTCACTTTTAATGGCGTTAATTAAAAAAATTAAAAAGAAAACGGCATTATATTTATTTCTTGTGAATAATTAATAAAATTAAATATTTAAAAAAAATTAAAAGTGTCATTTTTCATAATATTTAATGATAAAATATTCGATTTATTAGAAATATAAAATAGTTCAGTTAAAAATGCAGTAAATATTAAAAAAAAAAAAAAATTAAATTAATTTATAAAAAAGTTAAAAGATTTATATGAAAAGTCAAGTATAGATATAAAAATATTAGATTTAATTAATGAAGAAATAAAAAGCTTAAACGAATTTAAATAGAAATATAATTAAGTAATTTAAAGTTTAAATATTTTAGAAGAATATTTATAAGAATAAAATTTATATGGAAAATCGCATTTTGTAGTTCAATTCTTAAGTGAATAATTGAAATTAAATATTGTTAGATTATCTGATAATAATATTTACTGTAATTCTTAAGAAGGTGCCAAAAATGATTTTGTTGTTTTAAGAAAATATATTTCACATTGTGCCAAATATAACGAATTTTCTCCAAATTATAGATTATATAAACAATCAAAACTTACTTTTACTTTGAGGGAAACATTAAATGAGAATTCGTTTATTTATATGATTTTTTGCTTAAATTCATTGTAAAAATTTTATTAATAAACTTTTAAAAGCTGCGAAGTTTCCTATTTTTTTTTATTTTATTTTTTAATAAAAATAATAAAATTAAAAATAAATAGTATTTTGAGAAAATAAAAAGCTCAAGTGAAAATTGTTCTGGAGATATATAAAATTGCTTTAATTTAGAATATTTAAAAATTGAAGATAAAAGTGATAATAATAGCTCTTTGAGTTAAAAATATAATAAAATTTCTGATTTTAAATAAGAATTTATTAAAGAAAATAAGCAATAAAATTTAATTGAAGAAGAATAAATAAAATAAGAATAAAATTAAATAAATATATAAGGAGAATTACTTGAAGAAAAAAGAAAATAAGAAGAAAATTATTATAATAAAAATAATATTTAAGAAAATGAATATTAATCAATTATTGAAGAAAAAAATTAAATAGAATTATAATTAAGAGTTAGAAATAGATAACTTTTGTAGAAATAAAATAAACATAAAGAAAAAATTAAAAATCTTTAAAATTTTATCTAGAAAATACAATAAGAGAAAAATGATTTTAATAATTAATAAACTAATAAATTTTATAAATAAAAAGAAGTAATTTTAAAATAATAAAGTGAAGATTTAAGATAATAGAATGATGAGATTTTAGAAAAATATCAATAAGAATAAACCTTGAATTAAAAAATGAAAAATTAAATTTAATAATTTTAAACAAAAAATTAAAAATAGAAAAATATTATTAAAGAATTGCAAGATAAAATTATCTTATTAGAAGAGTAATTTGATGGAAAATTTAATAAAAATATACAACTAATCGAAAAATAATAAATTATTGAAGATTTATAAAGTACAATTGTTGAAAAAGATAAAATAATTTAATAACTTTATAGAGAAATAGAAATAAAAGATTAATAATAAAAAATTAGATAATTAGATTAATCAGAGATAATATATAAAAAATTAAATATTGTAATTTTTTTTTATTTTCTCTTTATTTATATTTATAAATATAAAAAAATTTTAGGATAATAATATCTATGAGAAAAAAATAAATTAATTAAATGAATAAGTACTAAGTATTTAGAGTTAAGCTGAAATAATTTAATTAGAAAAAATAAAAATAGAAAATAACAACAATTTATTAAAATAAAAATATTAAAAATGTTAATAAAAATTAAAAAAGCTAAAATAACAAATTAAAGTAAATATTTATAAAATTGTATTTAATTTATTATGTATTAAAAAATATTTAAAATAATAAACAAACAAAGGTCTAAGATTAAATTAAAAAATAAGAATCTAATAGATTATTAAAGGATTAAGAAAGAGTAAATTATATTTTGTAACAATAAATACAAGATTCAAAAGAAAATAAATTAAGAGTAAATATTTATAATTAAAGTATTTATTATAAAAATAAACATAGATATTGAACGAAATATAAGAATTGATAAATATTCACAAGCAAACTAGAATATAAAGATGATAAAGCAATAATAAAATAAAAAACAAAAACATATTTATTAAATAAAGGAAAATAAAAATACAAATAAATTTAATATTTTATTATGTTCATTTAAATAATTATATAATATTTATATTATTATTATTAATAATAATAATAAAAAAAAATATATTAATAAATTTTAAATAAATTCAGCTATTAATTTATTTCATAAATAAATTAATATCGTCTAAAAGTTAATCTCCTTCAAGTAATTATCTTTATTATTTTAAACTATCAACAGCTATTTTATATTCTTCAAAGAAAGTTTAATCTTTAGTTAATTTTTTCTTTTATTCAATTTATTTAGCTTCTTCGAGATCCAAAATATGCATATAAGCATTTTAAATTTCTTATTTGGTTTAAATTTAGCCAATAGGAGGAGTCTATGAAGATTCGTCTATAAGACTTTTTTAGATTTTAATAATTTATTCGAATTCTGCAGAATTCATTTTTTCTTTACTATATTTATTTTCGTACCAAACTCTGAAAGCCTCAAGCTTATCTAAAGCTTTTGGATTTCTAATTTAATCAATCTTTTATTCTTATTATTTTTAAAATTCATGCAAATCTTCTTCATTTCTGTCTTTTTCTTTTATTTAGAAATCTCTGCAAACTCTTAAAATTTCCATATCCCTGTTTAACTCTTCCAATAGAGTTTACTTTATATTTTCAGGCATTAAAAATTTACTTATTTCGTAATCTAACATTAATAAATCGTGATTATTTAATTTCTTCTCATAATAATATCTCTCTTTAAATACATGATCTAAGAAGTTTTTTACTTTATGATAAATCCAGTCTTTTTCATTCATTCTAATGTCAACTGTTCCATAGAATTTAGGTATTTAAGCAGATTTTTCATTTATTTAGAATTTTTCAGGTAAATAATGGTCTTTTCCTTAAATAGAGGCTTATGTTAATCGATCTAATCTTTCAACATAAATAACAAAGCCGGTAATCAATTATCTACCTTCTTATAAATCGTCAATTAATGAGAGAACATCAGATAATTGACTGATTTTTTCATCTTTTGGTAATGTTTTATTATCTAAAATACTTGTAATATTTTAAACTGTTGAATCTATTTTTAAAACTTATTGTTCGTCTAATAAAGATGACTAAGCTTAAGAAAGTGCATTTAAGAAAAGTTCTCTCTATTCGAAGGCCATAAGAGCATAATTTGTAAAAGACAAATTTCCTTATTGCTTTTCGTTTAAGAACTTGATCTTGTTTTATAACTCAAGCACTTTATCTTCAGAAAAAATAAGATGATCTTAATAAGCTGTGTATAAAATGGCGCATGTTTATGTCAATTTTGTTAAGTAATTTGTATATTCTTAAAACTCTTAAATGTTTTAGCAATCTATAGAATATTCTCTTAATATTGATTAAATAGAATCTGGATTCTAACGGATTTTTTTACCTGCACTATATAACTTTCGGAATTGGGCTTCTAATTTTTAAAGAGACAAAGCTGAGAAAACAAATAGAGTATGGGAAGATACATATTCTTACATGTCATATTCTAGATTATTCAATATGTATGAGTCTATCAAATTCATATAAGGGTCATTAAACTAGTAAGTTTTTATACCATCTTTAGTTACTAAATGCGATTAAACATTGTTTTAATCATATATTTAGTCAATTTTCGAAACTAATACTGTATTGAGTATTTTTTAGAATTCTTGTCTTGTTTTTTCTATAATCTTTTTTTTATATGTTTTTGTTAATTTTATTATTTTTTACATTTAATTTTTTATTTCCTTGTTATGGCTCTATTATTACTTGCAAAACTTCTTTTAAACTTGAATCATAGTTTATGAATTTATTGAAGAGATTTTAGACGTAATTTGGGTTGTTTTTGTTAAATTTCATTTCTTTTTAAGCTTCTTCTGTAGGAAGAGATATTAATTGCGAAAGTTAATCGAAACCTTTTTTAGTTACGATTTCTAAATCTTGAACAAATTCTTGCTTTAATTTATCAGGATTTAAAGCATCATATTCCTTCTATCTGTTTTCAACATCATTAAGGAACTCATAGACATAATCTCTTAAGTTATCTGGCGTAGTTTATTTAAGTAGGCCCTTAATTTATTCGGTAGTAGAAGATAAAAGAAAATCTTTAATTTCATTAACCTATTATATAAATTTAAATTTAAAATAATTCTTAATTTTTTATAAATTATTTTATTTTTCAAATACCTTATATCCTGATTCAATAAGCTTATCGTACCAATCATCTAATGATTTAGATCTAGGATCACCATATCTAATTTCATATTCTTCTCTTTTAACATTATAATAATTTATTCTATCATTATTATTTAGATGAATTCTATCAATAAGTACTTTTAAAAATTATTTTTCATTAACAACTTTATCAATTTATTTTTTATCAAAAGTAAAGTTTTTAACTAAATTATGTTTCTTTTCAATTGTTATTTTATCTAATAAATCGCCAAGAAGGTTTTTTACATAAGGGTCATGTCCTTCAACTTTATTTTCTTTGTTATCTGAAGGGAAAAAGGTAGGGTATTTTAATCCTGGGAAATTATCCAATGTGTATTTTTCAGAAGGATCTTACTGGAAGTTTTCAGTCAAACGTTCACTAATAATTTTTTCTCTTAATTTTAAGAAAAATTCTTATTTTTTTTCAATAGAAGCTATTCTAGAAATTTCCTTTAATTAATCAAGTCTTTACTAACGATATTAAAGGAAAATTTCCTCACATATTTTTTAGACGTTCTCATTTACTTTTGGAATGTTCTGGAAGTATTCTTAAATTGCTTGAAGTCTTGTAGAATAGAATATGTTTAAAGAAAACTCACAGCCGCTTAATTGGCACATTCTGTTTAATTGTTCGTATTTTTAAAATTCAAGTTTTTCATAAAGATATATTTTTTCACGTAAATCTTCCACCTTTATTGATGGGTTCATTGAATTTATACCAATTCCTTACAAGAATTTATGCACATCCCACATTTAGCCTTATCTTATATAAGTATCTCTTAAGTTATCTTAATTTAAATAATAACGAACCGTGTCAGGATATTTCTTATAATAATCTTTTACTGGATACATTGAAAAAGGCTTTAAATCAGGTTTATATTCAGAAATTTTTTTGGTTTATTAATCTTCATCAAAAGGTATAAAATATCTTTCAACTTAATCGTTAGTAATATCTTTGAAATTCTTTACTTACCAACCTTAAAATGATTCCTCATGATTTTCAAAAAGATAATATTTAAAGCTTTCAGCTAACTCCTAATCTTATATACGTCTACAGGCTACTCTATATTCTCTTTCCAAACATTCTTTCCAGGTAGAATTTTATGCTTCTCTAAGTAATTTTAAAGTTATTTTTAAAGCCAAAGGTGATTTCTATTTCAATATCTTAATAATTTTTTCTGTAAAAGGAGAGTTTTCTTATTTTAATCTTTCAAATATTTCCTCAATAGTATTAGCTCCAAAACATCTTCCTATAGTAGGTAAAGGAATACTACTAATTACTCCAGATGGAGAAAGCTATAAGTTTTAGATAATAACTTCGAAAAGTATGTTTTATTCATAATGATGTAAATGATTAATTAAGAGGTTTTTTTAGTATAATATATCATCTTATCTATGGCCTGCATTTGCTCTTCCCATCATTTAATGTCTATAAAGAATTTCTGCAAAAGCAAGTCTTTTATTTTCGCCTCTGAATTAAATGGAATTTTCATTAATAATACGTTCTTTTAATTCATCATTTATAATTCCTATGTAGCTACCTTGATATATTTTCTACGCATAATTATCCAAAAGACTTTATGAACCATTTAATTGTTCTGAAGTAAAATGTTAATCATGTGCTTTATGACATTTTAAAAAATTTTACTCTAAATTCTTATTGCTTAAAAACATTCTATCTGATGCTATTTCTGATCTGCTTAAGTCATAACCATCTAATTAATATCCTGTCAAAGCTAAAAATGTTCCCAAATCATTTTTCAAACGAGATAAGTAATATGATGCACCTGCATCTGGAATGTATCCCAAATGAGTTTCGTTCAAACTAAATTTTGTATGTTTGCTTCCCATAGCTAATGGAATTCGAGTAAATATTGATGCGGCGGAACCTGTAATTGGACCGTTTATATTTACTAATAATGGCTTATTGTATTTTCCAATATATACTGCTAAATCATAAATGTTACGAAGATATTAAAATGATTTTTCTGGGTGCTTTTTTAACACATTATTTATTAAAACTTTATTTTATATATATAATTATAGTTATAATTATAAACATATTTTTTACACTTAAAATCAGTTCCTCTAGAAAAAGATTCTCCTTCTTTTGAGCCTTCTAAAAATACTGCTCTTACTGAAGAATCTACATCATATGACTTTTTATATTTATATTAATTAAATTTTATATTTTATTTTACTTCTAAAAAACGATGTATTTCACTAATCATTCCTGGTGTTAATGTCTTTTTTTTATTTTATTTTTTTTATTTTATTTTTATTACGTTATGTTTGTGAGTTGAATTTAACTTCATAAATGCTACATCTCCTGATCTTTTACTTATAACTTCATACTTTATTTTTGTATTATATTTTAATTAATATATATTAATTTTTTACTAAATTTTTCTTCAGGTTAAATTTTTTTTGTTCAAAATTACTGAACACAGATGGATTAAATATATGAAATTATGTTTTGTTTGCAAAAAGTTTATTCCTAGAAATTTTAAAATTTTAATTTTTTAAGATAATATTTTTATGTATATAAATACTTGTTTAAAAGATTGTTGTTTTTTTTAATTTTGAACATGTATTTACTTTTCCTACTTTTAACTTAATTATTTTTTTCTTTTAAAGATATTTTTATATTTAGAAATATGCAAAAATAAATAAAAAAATAATTTGAATAATAAATAAAATTAACAAACAATATAATTTATAATTTGAAAAACTATATTATATTATAAAAATTAAATAATTTATATAATCATGCATTTACTATATTAAATTCAAAAATATATTTTTATTAATGCATTAAAAAAAAATGTTAATAATTAAATATATTTTATATAAATTTTATTTACTAACTTTAATAAAATAAACGCTATAATAAGATGAATGTGCCTAAAATCCTTAAGATGGATGTATAAGTTGTCCACATGGAAGTACATGCTATAAATGCGCACTAACACATATTCTTATAAATTACTCATGTTCTCCTATAGAGACAGCAAACAAAAATACATATTATGCTTTAAAAACATCACTAGATGAAAATATTATAGAAGAATATTCAGATACCTGTCCAGAAGAAACCCATACAATAGTCGAAGATAAGGCATCTGAATTGTTAATATGCGTACGATGTCCTTCATAATGTAACGGCTGTGGTTATTATCCAAAATAGAAAAAGGTTTAATGCTGGGATTGTGGACCTAATCAATATTTAATATGTCCAAATGGAGTGGAGTTTTGTTCAGAATATGATCGATATAAGGATGATTGGGCTCCATAATGTGTAGACGTAGATAATTTAGGGAAAAATATAAATTTAAATATAATAATTGAAGGAGATAGAAATTAAAATTTCGAAATTTTAAATCAAGGAAATTGTGGTTCTAATTTATAATAAATAACTGATAATTTTTTCAAAGCACTTGTTTTTGTAGAAAGATGTTCCAGAAAATACAAAACAGGAAGTGTTGTTTTTTATTTTTAACCTAATAAAGATCATTTTTTAATTATTAATGAAGAAAATGATAATGCAATAAATTCTTTTAAATAAGATGAAATTTATGAATTTTTTAGACAGGCTTAATTTGATATTAATATTAAGTTATTTTATCTTTTATTTATTTTTATATATATTACTAAAATATAGAGGTGAGTCTAGATTTACAACTAATATTTATTTTAGAACTGAAAATATAAGAATTTATGTATAAAAAACTTTAAATATATAACATATTACTATAAATGGTAGTGAAAATTAGGCTTAATGTACTTTAATTAAGAATATATAATTTTTATTAAATTTATTTCTATTTTTCTAAAAACAAAATAAATAAAAGGGAATTAAGGTTCAAATGTAAATTGTTTTTAAAACAGAAATTTTTGTTGTAGAACTAATGGGAATTCATAAGTAAATTTAATTTGCCAAGAACCTTCAGACTTAAGAAAAAGAAATATCTATAGCAAAAAAAGCATTTAATTAAACAAAAAATTTCCTGATTTGTTAGGTCATGGTTTTATTAATATTCCTTCTTCTATTTATTTTACAATTGAAGAATAAAATCGTCCTATATTAAATATAGATGTAATTATTTAAATTAATATTTTATTCATTAGATTTATTTAAAAAAATAAGTCCGTACGTTTATTAGATATGAATATGATTGATCCTGAAGCAAATAGAAGCTTTATAAAAGTAAACAACTTTGCCTAAGTTATAATAAATAATTTCCATGTTGATAAATATTATTATCCTGGAGGATTAATATCCAATTATTACCTTCATTTAAAAAAAACAATATTTTCATAAGAAAAATATGATACTGATGTATTGTTATAAAGAAGGTAAAATTATTAATGAAACTAAAAAATATAATTTTTTTTAAAAAAGAACTGATTGTAGAAAAATGATAAATGCTGAATAAAAATAATTTTGTTTACAATTTTTTATATATAATAGCAATTTTACAAATTACAATAATTATAAATATCGTCGAGTGATAGATGAAGCATCATCTTAATATGAAGGTAGATATGTAGAAGCTTACACAATAAATATATTTTCAACATTAACTCAATTACTTATAAATAATTCTACATTCACAAACGGAATGTTTTCTCTTTGGTAAGAATACAACAAAAAAGAATTAGACTCTGAATTACTAATATAATGCAAAAATTTTAATTCGGATATTTTATCAAGTTCATATACTAAAACAGATCCTTTATTACACCATGATTAAGATCAATTTTCTTAAAATACACACAAGACAGGGACACATATCCTTTTTTAATATTTTAAAGGGCTAATTTAGATTTCTTAAAGTACATTTGATAATAATTTAGGTTATTAATCTCCTGCTTTTAGTATTTATGAATTTTCGCAATATATAGGAAGTGAATTGACCCCAAATAATATATTTGTGAATGGATCTGATTATTACTTATACACTCTTAATCGAATGATTTCGTTGCAAAATAATGCTTTTTCTAATAATTTTGCATTAGTAAGTAATAATGTATTATAAATATATTCGAGTAAATCTTAGAATTATTATTATGCTACTTCTGCTGGATGTAGAGCTATTGAAATTATTGGAAATAAATTTTCGAATAATTTTGGATGCCCAACTTCATATTTTGTAAGTAGTATTATTTGTAGATTCGAAAAAATTAATGATGATTCGATTAATTTTGCACCTTGGTATAGTTTTTTTAATCCTTATAACCCTAATAAATATGAAAAAATTAATTTATCTTAAGTTACTATTTCCGATAATACTTTTACTGGTAATCTGGCTATTATTTCTAATAGTTTGTTTATTCATGGAACTTAGGATGTGATTATTACTTCTAATACTTTCTCTTTAAATGGAATTTTATGTAAATTTAATAGAGATGAATTAAAAAATTTCAATTCTCCATATTATCATATTAGAGGTGTTTAATAGATTCTAGAAATATCTGATGATTTTATGAAAGAAAGTTCTTCTGTTTTTATTTAATTTCCTGTTAAATTTACTATATTTGACAATATATTTTCAAGTAATTGGGGAATTTCAACTGGTGATTCTTATTTTGGTTAATCTTTAATGTTATTTAATATACTTTCTAAAGAAGATGTAAATAAAAATAAAAATAAAAATAAAATTAATACAAAAAAAAGATGAAATTAACGAAAAACACATTCACTTAACATGTTGGAATACCTCCTAAATATATAAAAGGAGATATAAAAACATTTCCAAGAGCCAGCTTGCCAGCTTTATCAATAAAATTTTTATAAAATCGATAATTAATGGGATCAATTAAAGAATCAGTGTAATTTGATATAAATTAATGTACATTTACATAAAATATATATTCCATACTTACAAATGATGAAACGAATCCAAAATTAAAATCGTATACTTTATATTCTAAAGGAGGATCAGTTTCATTAATAAAAGTATTCACAAATAATGAAGTTAATGGTTCATAGCCAGTAGCAAATGATTATATTGATATGATTTATACAAGTATAAGCTTTAATATAAGGAATTTAATTGTAAGCGAAAATAAACATTTGAACAGTGGATGTATGTTCGAAATTTCAGGAATGTCAGAAATATCAATATAAAATAGTTAGTTTGATAATAATGATAATGATGGAAATTCAAGCTCTGCTGGAAAATTCTGCTTTTTATATGGATCTCCTTATATATTATCATAGAAACCTAAGATAACCCTACTTTAGTAAAATGTTTAGTTTGATAAAGGAATTTTTTTATATATTGATATGAAATAAGCAGTAATATCTTTGGGTGATTTTAGTTTTAGATAATGTGAATCTACAAATCAAATAATATATGTTAAAGACAGTTCTTTAATTGAAGTAGAAACAAATACTTTTCAATAATGTATAGGAAGAAATTCATTAATATTTTATGAGTAAATTCCTTCTATAATATTAAAGGAAATAAAAGTAAATGATAGTTATCCTTATGTACTTTAAATAAGAAACATATAAAAATTTACATTCAGTTCATTTTAATTAACTAATAATAAAATAAGTAAAATCGATAAAATCAATGAAAACGAAAAAACATAAAGCATTTTTATTTATAAATCAAAAGGAACACTTGTAAATTCAGTTTTAGATAATAATTATGTTCATAGAGGTTCTGTGGCTTTATTATAAGATAATAGTGTATTAGAAGTTACTGACTTGTAAATAATAAATAATTATTCTTTAGAAAACGGTAATAATTTTTATGTCATTGATGAAAGCGTATTAAATATTCATTCAAGTTATTTTTAAAATAATATTTCTGAAAAAGAAGGCGGATGTCTTTTTATATAGAATTCTTATTTAGGAATACATTCCAAAAGTCATTTAAAAAATTGTAAAGCGAAATAAAATGGAGGAGTTGCAAGAATCGAATAATCAAATGTAGATGTAAGTGACTCTTTTTTTGAAGAAAATGAAGCAGAAAATGAAGGAAGTACATTTTATTTTATACGTTCAGTAATAAGTCTTTAATATTCGACTTTTTTAAATAATAAAGCTTATTCTTGTTCAATAATATCATCTTCTTGTCCTGTTTTTTAATTTCTAATTGTATTTTTGAAGGAAACGAGTCGTAAATAAAAACGAAAAATATATATTCATCTGAATCTTTATTTAATATAACTTCAAGCAATTTTACAGATAATAAACCAATGAATTAAGTAACAGGGACTTTCCTTTAAGTATAAAACAGTGAAGGGACAATAAAATATTCTATTTTCAAATCAGGAAATGCAGTTTTTGGTGGAGCTATTTTAATCGAAAATTATGCTTCTTTGGAAATTTAGAATACTATTTTCTAAGAATGCATGGCTTAAATTAGTGGAGGAGCAATTTAGAGTTCTAGCCAATTGAGAATATCGGATAGTTAATTTATTAAAAACTAAGCTTTGAATGGAAATGATGTATATTTTAAAGGTTTGGACGATATTGTTATTAATAATGTCAATATAACAGCAAGTTTAGGAATCAGTTTGTATATATGGGCAAGAGAAATGTAATCAAATTACTTAAATATTCAGGGAGATAAATCAATTAAAAATCCAGGCGAAAATGAAGAGATGAAAGGTCTTTATATATTCGAAACTACAAAAACGGCACTTAATTATGCTACTTTTGAAGGTCTTTTTGGAAAAAGAGGATCAGCTATTGATATTGAGAATTATTTAAATAGATAAATTTTATAAGTAACAATTTAGAATAGTATTTTTAATTCTAATATAGCAAGAAGAGGTGCCGGTATTCATTCTTTGGGACTTGTTTAGGTGAAATTATATGATACTTAATTTTAAAATAACTAAGCGAAGTTATTTAATGATACATAAGGAACTGGATTTGGAGGAGGGATTTTGTATAATTGTCCTATTAAATATACTTAGTGCCTTTTTTAAATTATTCGATGCAATTTTTTTAATAATATTGCTGACATGGACGGAGGTGCTGTTAAATTTGAATAATCGGAAATTTTTGTAGATTCATAGACTTCATTTTTGAATAATTAGGCATTATATGGTTCTAATATAGCTTCTTATCCAATTCATTTATAAAAAACTAATAATTCATTAAGTGATTAAATTGTAGATTTCAAAAGACCAGATGCTTTTGATAAAGACTTCGAATAGTCAATAAAGGAATCGTATTTTTTTTAAGATGCTATATCTGGATAGTTTTTCAATTTGTTTTATGCACTTGTAGATCATTATGGAAATGTGGTTCGAACAGATAACTCTTCTATAGCAATAATAACTACAAAGCAATAAAACATATATTTGGAAGACAGTTAAAAAGTCTCAGTCAATGGTTATTTTGATTTTAGTATTTTAAAAATTACTATAGATCCAGGAAGTGTGGCTAATTTTTAAATAACCACAAATGCAATTCCAGAAGAATGGCTATAAATAGCCAGAGAAAAAAAAACTTATCGAATACTTGAAGAATAATTCTCTTAAACTATAGTGGAAAACAAAAATGAAGTGGGATCAATGCCAATCCTTATTCAATTTAGAAAATGCTAATTAGGGGAAATATAATCAGCTAAATAGTGCATTCCTTGTCCTGCCTATTAGTTTTCCAATATATAATTGGTTACTGAGAAAGAAAATGAGTGTTTTGAATGTCCTTTTGAGGCTTAGTGCTTTGGAAAAAATGAAGTAGCTCCAAATGCTGGATTTTGGAGATTAAGTCAATTTACTTAAACTTTTATATCATGTCCTAATGAAAGTGCTTGCATTGGAGGTTTTGAAAATAATAAAATCACTTCTTATACTGGTAATTGCGCTTAAGGTTACGAAGGTATTCTTTGCTAAGGTTGTAATGAAGGCTGGGCAAGATATAAGGACAATTAATGTATTGAATGTACTGATAATTTAATTTATGATATTTAGTCTTTTTTCACTATTCTTTTTGCTAGTTATATGATTTTTATTGCTATAAGGGATACTTTATAAGAAGGAGGTGATTCAAAAGAACATACAGTCTCTTTATTGAAAATATTTGGTAATTTTTCTCAGCATATTACTATAATATCTCTTTTCTAAATTAGTTGGCCGGAGTAAACTAATTTTATGAATTCTTTTAATCAAAATATACTTTCAGCTCCTTTAACTGTATATTTTAAAAATATTTTTAAATAATAAAAAAAGGTTTTCTCTATGGATTGTTATTATAAATAATTTGGTGATAGTACTGTTCTTGTAAAAATATTTCTTGATATTGTCACGCCATTAGTAATTATGCTTTTAGCAATTATATTTTTCATTATTTATTTTGCTATTAAAGAAGGAGCAGATTTACTAACTGTATAAAGCAAAAGAACTGTAAAAAATCATATGTTTATATGATTATATGCATTATTATTTTTATAGAAACTTAAAAATCATATTGTAGTTGTATAGCTTGTTATTGTTTTTGTGTTTCATCCTCAAATTGTAGAGTCTTCCTTTTCTCTTTTCTAATGTGTTAATTTGGGTGATGAGAATAATCCTTAAATGTTTTTTTAAATAGATCCTTAGCTAAGGTGTATGGAAGGCATTCATCTTTAATTTGTTAAATATTTAGGAATTCCTTCTATTGTTTCTTGGGGTTTAATAATTTATTTATATCATTATATAAATTAATATAATTTTTATAATATTTAATATAGTCCTTATTATCCCTTTTATTATTGGTGCTTCTTTATATAAATATAAGGAAATTATAGATAGACCAGATATTTCTGAAACATTTGGTTTTATAACAAAGGGATATAGATCTGAATATTTTTTTTGGGAAATAATAATAATGTATAGAAAATCGTTTTTGGTAATAGGTTCAGTATTTTTATAAATAGATGAGTTTTAAAAAGTAAAAATAATGATAAAAACATATATTTAAATAAAATAAAATTTAAAAAGGGACTAAATGTTGTATTATACTTTTTTATATGGTATATGATATAAAATAAGTACTAACCATTTATATCTCATAGATTAAATTAGGTAGAAAGTTTTTCTTTGTTGACTTGTGTATGCTATATTTATATATCTTTATATTATTTAGTGAGTAAAATTAAAGAAAATAATTAATATATAAAAAATATAAAAATAAATAAATAAAAAATTAAAATAATAATAATAAATAATAATAATAAATATATAATTATATATATATTTATATATAATTATAAATATTAATATATGAATTTATATTTAAATTAATAATTATTACAATATTTATACATATATTATATTTTTATTTATTTTTAAATTTAAATTAATAATAAATAATATAATATTTTTTTTTTTAGATGATCCTGATTCAATTATTAATATTGTTATGATAATAGTTTTACTTGTTGTATATTTTGGATATATTTTTTATTTCCTTCTTGTTTTTGCAAAGTAAAAAGTTGACGAAATTACTGAATAAATAAGTGAAGTTACAGAAAATAATTAGAATTTATTTATGATTAAACTTTTATCTAGATTATCTGAAATAAAAGCTTGTATATGCGCAAAAGAATGGCTTTTGAAGTAAAAAAATCTTATTGAAGAAGCTATTAATGAAAAAGAAAAAAAAAAAAACTAAATATTAGAAGAAGAAATTTTAAGCTTAAAAAAATAGGTGTCTATTAAAGAATAAATATATAAAGTAAATATTTTTTTACCCTAAAATAACGAATAAACTGATGAATTTATGCTAATTAAAAAATAAAATAAAGAATTAAGAGAGATTACTGAAAAAATTAAACAGAATTACTAAATTAAATTATAAAGCAATAATAATAATTATGATAATAAATTTAAAAAACTTTATAACAAAGTTTAATAAAATACACAGATAAATTAATAGAACTCTTTTTAAATATAAGAAAATGAAGAATTACTTTCAAAAGAATTAAATTTAAAGTAAATACCAAAAATTTTACAATTTGAATGATAATAATATTATTTTTATAATTATTTATTATTAAATTTTTATATATAATTACTAAAATCAGAAAAATAAATTATATTATTTAATAAGTCTCATAATTTATATTATTTATATAAATAAATATATTTTTTTCTATTATTAATTATATTATATATATAATTGCCATTTATTTGAAATAATATTATATTTACTTTAAAATTAATTTTAAAAATAATTTTAAATATATATTTTACAAGAAAAAATATATTTTATATATAAATTATTTTTAAATATATATTTTATAATTATTTTATTTTTAATACACTTATTTTTGTTCTATAAATTAAATATTAAATAATATAAAATTAAATCTATTTAAAACAAGCATATTTTTATTATTTTAAATAAAAAACTTATTATAAAAAATTATAATTAGTATATTTAAATTAAATTTTAAATATAAAAAATACAAACATTTTTATAATAAGAACAAATTAAAGAGATATATAAAGGATAAAAATGTAAAATAGTTAAAGTAAAAACTATAAAACATATAAAAAATACCTTTTTTAAAAAAAATAATTTAATAATAAAAAATATTAGATTAAGTACAAAAATGGGATTGGATTCCCTGTAATCATAATTTAAAAACAGAATTAAAAAAGTAAATTAATATTTGGAGTTTATAACCATCTATTGTACTGACTAATCCAAATGAAGATGTAAAAAACTACTTTACCCTAAAAAATAATTATATCAAGCAAAATAATATTATATTATATCCTAAAAAATTAAAAATTAGGGCCCTGATCCACATGTAAAATTATTTATAGATACTGAAAAATCTCTATAATATACAGAAGATTTAGGCTGGAATTGGCATAAAAGCTGGAATTTACCTAATATTTCAGTTCGATTAGAAGTAATATAAACAATGCCTTTTTTATTGTTAAATTTTTAACAAAAAATATATAAAAAGATTAAAGATTTCTAAACGTAAGAAATACTATAGTGTCCTAAAAATTTATATGTAATAATTTAAAAATAATTATATTATGAAGTGAAAATAAAAAAATTAAAATAGAAAAATAAATAAAAATAATAAATTATATATTTTAATAATAAACATAATATAAAAAAATATTGATGTATATAAAAAATTATTTTTTAAAAAACAAAACAAAAAAGGCTCATATTTTTGCTGTGAAAGCAGTTATAGATTAAGCAGATAATTTCCATTTAGTAGATGTTGGAATGAGAGGTATAACAAAACATGAATTAATAAATGGATAGTCTTTTTTCTAAGCAATAAAGTTTTTATCAACCTCATATAATAATGAGGGAGTTAAATTTCATTTAGTATTGTGTATTTATATTCAAAGTGATGATGATTAAACTCCAAAAATATTAAATGCTACTATTTCTCCTCCTATATTTGTTGATTCTAGAAAGTCTGCTAAAGATTCTTAAATTATATTAGTAATTTTTCAATTAAGATTACATATATATTTTATGATAATTAATAAAAGGAGAAAAAAATGAGTTCCTTTGTTGAACCTTTTTTACCAGATAACTTTAACAAAGCATTCATTAAAAGAGAAAATAAAAAAAGAAACGATATTGAAACTGTCATTCTAAATGATTTTGAGGGCCTTTTTAATTATTTAACAGCTCCTAATATAAGACATAAAGTATAAGTTGTGTATATATGTATATTTAAAGCTTTTTTATTTAAAAATAGGTAAAACATCCCGCTTTCTTAGCCTTAAGATTTTCTTCTTGTGTGAAGCTTTTTTTTAATAAATTATAATTTGATTAAATTAATGTAATTATTTATATATATATATTTTTATTAATATTTTATATATTAAAAATGACAGTATGAGTAATTAATAGAACAATTATAAATAAAATTAACAAAAGAACATTTATAATCAAAAAAATAATCTTAATAACAAATACCAGGTTAAAATAAGGAAAATAAATCTTTCTTTCTTTTAATAATAGAATCAATAGATTATTATAGGCACAAAAAAATAATTGAAGCTTTAGAATCTTTAGAATGTCCATCTTTAGCAATAGTATATAAGCAATCAGAAATTCCTGCCAATTTTTAAGATATAACAAATAATTAATAAGAAGAAATAAATGAAATAACAAATACTTACAGAAAATGTTATAGTAATTTACTAGCAATATCTAAGAGTATAAAATAAACAGAATATGAAAATAATGACGTAATTTTTTATTAATAAAAATAACATTATTTAAATATTTAATAAAAGGATGAATGTGATAGCGACTAAGAAAATAGTTAAAGTTCATATGAAGAAGCTGTGAGCCCTTAACCAATAAAAAGAATTAAATAAGATAATCTAAATTCTAATTAAAAAGATTGTAGCAATTAAAATAATCAAGAAATAAACGAAAGTAGTGATTCTGAAAATTCTTAAAAATATGAAGACGGTTAAAGATTAGGAAATAAAATTAAAAATAAATAAATTAAAAAAAAAGAAAAAAAAAACAATATTGAAAATGGAAAAAAAAAATGAAAATTATTAATAACAAAATGAAATATAATAAATATAATAGACGATTTAACAAATATAAAATACGAAAATAGAAAATATTGTAATAAAACAAATAAAAATTAATATATTTTTTTTAAAAAAAATTAATATATATTATAATTTTATATTAATAGTAATCTATTTCTCAAATTGATTAAGTAAACATTTAATAATAACATATACAGTTGTGACAACAATAACAACAATAATAACAATAACAACAATAACAACAATAACAATAATAAAAACAATAATAACAATAATAACAATAATAGCAATAATAAAAATAATAATAATAATAATAATAATAATAATAATAATAATAATAATAATAATAATAATAAAATATTTTGCATTAATAAATGATGAAATAATTAAGCTTTATTAATTAATAATAGATTAGTTTTGTTAATCCTAATGGATCTAATTTATAATAAAATCAAAATGTCACAATTCCATAATCTTCTCATAATATAGCATTTTAAAATTCTTAAGGGTAATTAATTAATCCCAATTAAATCTAAAACATGTAAAATATGGTTGTTTTACCAGTTGGAAACATGGGAAATATGGGCAGCATGGGTAACGTAGGCAACATGGGTAACGTAGGCAACATGGGTAACATAGGAAACATGGGAAACATGGGAAGCATGGGAAGCATGGGAAGCATTGGAAACATTCCTTTTTAATTATAAAATTCGTTGGTCTATAATTCTTAATTTTAAAATTAGATTCCTTACTAATAATAATAAGGTCCTTATGTATAAGATTTGTAATAATTAATGATGAGGTAAAGAAACATAAAAATAAATATTTATTTACCTATTTTTATTTAGTGGATAAATATATCCAATGTGGCCTCAAGCCGGATAATAACAGAATCTTTAAAATTTATTTAATTAACCTAATTTAATTAATCAAAATGCAGTAAATCCATCAGGTAGTTATATATTTTTTTTTTAATAAATAATATTTTTTATTTAAATAAATAATATATATAGTTTTAGTTGGAAATACTTAATTTTAATAATAATAATAACAAAAATGAGTATAATTAAAAAATAAATTTTTAGTCTAAAAAAAAAAAAACTATAATTAAATAAAAATTTAATATTTTGTAAAATATATTAATTATATTATCATTTAATTAATATATATCTTTTATATAAAGTAGTTTACATATTTTTAAAATTTATTTTATTATTTTATTTTAAAATAAAAGTTATCTATCAAAATTTCGTTTTTTTTATTATTATTTATTTTTAAATAAAAAAAACTTTTTAATAAAAAAAGAAAAAAAGTAAAATATTATAAAACTTTTTAAAAGAATGAACTATTAATATTAATAACATTATAATTACCAGTATTTCTTAAATAAAATATATACAAATATAAATTTTATTATAATTTTTTTGTTTATTTTCATTTAAAAATAAACAGATCACATTAGTATTAATATAACTATAACTCGCAAGGTTATAACTTTTAAAATTAATCGGCAAGCACTTAAGCGGAAATCTATAACTAAAATAATACAAAAGACGATATTTCAAATGCAACTAATTTATCGAAAAAATCTATAAATGATTATTAATTTATTTCTTAAAAGCCAACACTTGGTTAAGGCGCATATGGAACGGTTAAATTAGCAATAGACAAGTAAAATAATTAAAAATACGCTATAAAGATAGTAATAAATATATAATATGATTTTTTTTATTAAAAAAAATAAAAATTAAAAATAAAATTATTTAGATGTCTAAAGAAATGATATTCAAATATTGTACTATAGAAAATTTAAAAAGAGAAATAAAAATTTAAAAAAAATGTGCCATTAAAATATTTGTAAGCTTTTCCATTATTTTGAAGATAAACAAAATGTTTATTTAGTTCTTGAATTAGCTGAAAAAGGGAATCTATTCTAAAATTTGCAAAGGTATTCTAAATTTTCAGAACAAATGGCATTTCAGTTTTTTTTCTAAACCTGTTTAGGAATAGATCATTTACATAAAAATAATATAATTCATAGAGATTTGAAGGTTTTTTTATATAAATATAAATTTTTATTAATAAAAAAAAAGCCTGAAAATTTACTTGTGGATTCAAATGATATTATTAAACTTTGTGATTTTGGATGGAGTGCAGAAAGAACTAAAGATAGAAATACTTTTTGTGGAACAGTAGATTATATGTCGCCAGAAATTATAGAGCATGCATAACATGATCATAGAGTAGATATTTGGTGTTTAGGTATTTTATTATATGAATTAGTGCATGGATATACTCCTTATTAAGGAAATACGGAGAAATAAAAACTAAATAATATTGCTAGTAATCAAAAAATACATTATAAATTAGATTTAAATCCTGATTGTGTGAATCTTATTTAGAGTATTTTAAAAATAAATCCAAATCACAGGCTTACTATGAGTTAGATATTCTACCATCCATGGATGGTTAAAAATTATTTGAAATAAGGACTTGATATAGATGAGATAATGTAATAATAATAAAGAACATTATTCTAAAAAGCTAATAATACAAATATAGTTAAAAATGAATAAATTTAATAATAACAACCAGTTATAACTAAATTGGGAAGGAAAATTTCTTTAGATCGAAATGAATAAATTAAAAGAAATGCAAAATAATAAATTAATTAAAAATAAAAATTCTATAAAGTTTAATAAACATCGATAAACGAAGAAGAAAGTGATAGCGAAAAAAATTTATATTTAAGTAATAGATATATGGATATTAAATAAAAAAAATAAAAAGCTAATAATAATCAAGAAAGCTTTTTTTAAAAATTGCTTATTGCTTTTGGATGTATTAAAAGAGAAAAAGAAAATAAAATTCAATGAGTTATTTTTTCTGAATGCATGTTTTTATTTTAAATTAAGTCTATTAATTACCATTATATATATATTTTTAATTTTAATTTATAAATTACTCAAAATTTACAATTATTAAAACCTTTTTTGGCTATTTTCATAAAAAAAATGATAAGCCATTTTTTTTTTAATAGATTAAGGTTTTTATATAATTTAAGAAGAAAAAAAAGCCTTTTAGTCTCAAGCAAATGAGGGGGGAGGGGTAGGAGTTAATCAATCAATGAGTTTATAGAGTATTTATTTTTTAATACTGAAAATTTATTAATCAAAATGTATTTATATATTAAAATAATATGTTAAAAATTTGCTTTAAGATTAATACTACATAAATCATATGCTATATAAATGAATTAAATTTATTACTTTTAAAAATATATATTAAAAGAGAAAGTAAAAGAAATAAATAAAAAATTCTTGTATATTAAATTTTAATATTATTATTATTTTTAATATTTTTCATTTTTTTTTCCGAAAATTATATTATTGGCAAAAAAAAGTGAGAAAAAGATGTATTATTTCCTTTTAATTAGGTTTATAAAATTAAAATACAAAAAACCATATTAAAAAAGTAACATTATGTTATTTTTTGAATTGTTTTTTGTGTAATTATTAATAATATGTTATATTTATATTTTATTGTAAAAAAAAAAAAAAAAAAAAAATTATAAAAACATTTAATCAAAAATCAAATACATTTTTAAATCCTACATCATTTTCAACTATTTATGTCCTTAAGACTATTTCTTTTGCAAATTTGATTTATTAATCATAATCATCTCTACGTAAATCTATTATTTATTCTACATATTTATCAAACAATAAATTATTTTCTTCGGCTTATTCTTTAAACTATTAACTAATTTTTGAAATATCTTATTCTATTAATTAGTTTATTTCTTAAAAAAGCTATTTGTTTTCTTTCTTAATTATATTTAAATCTTTTTTTACTTCACTCATATCATTTTATGCTATATTTAAGTCATTATCAAAATCGTTTAATATATTCTAAAAAAAAAAAATTAATATAAATATATATATATATATATATATATATATATAAATAATATTTATTTATTTAAAAAATATTTAATTTTATTAAATTAAACTTCTTTGCTTTTTGTATTGTTTAATTTTTTATATATTATTATCATATTTTTAATTAATTTTTTATTATCCTACTTCTATTTTAAATATTTAATCACGAACTGATAACAATGTTGAGTTTTAAATTAACAATTTATTAGCAATACTTTATTAACCTAATAAATACTATTCTGATTTATTGTCTTGCTTTTACTCTCCCATTATAAATTTTTAGCTCAACTTAATATTCATTTTTTTTTTTTTTATTTATTAAATAAAAATTATAAAATATTTAATTATAAAATTGAAATAAATAATTTTTAATTAATGTATATATAAATTATTTTTAATAATCAAAATTATTAATTTTATAATATTAATAATCTAGAACAAGCAAACAAAAATAAGAAAAAAAAAATTAGGTATCATATATCTTTATTTATTAAGGATTTATATAAATTAATTTAATGTTAATTTAATAAAAAATTAAACTTTTTATATTATAAAAAATAATTCTTTTTTATAAAGATTTTGTAAGAAAAATAAATATATTATAATAACGAATATTTAATCAATAATATATAATATTTTAAGAATCGAATAAAATAATAAAAAAAAAAAATAGCGGATAAAATATTATGTAAAAATAAGAAATTATATTAAAATATTAAGACGAAGACATAATAACTTAAAAAAGGATATAAAATTTTTTGATAAAAAATAACATAAATTTCGTTAAAATAAATTAAGATTAATATGAGGCTATAATAAAAATGTATAATTAAAAAGAATTTAACTAAATATTAAAATAAAAAAGACAATATTTTATAAATGAGCAAAATAAACTATTTAAAAGAATAAACAAATAAACAGACTAACCAATAATATAAAATAATTAAAATAATTTAGAATTAGTAAAAATAAACAAATCATTATAGAAAATTAAAAAGTAAATTTAAGATAATAATTAAAAAAATTAAACATAAAACTTAAAAAAATAAATAAATAAATCTTATTTAAAAACTGAAAGAAATACGTCAATTACAAGTTTAAAAAGCAATTAAAAAAATAAAAAAAGCCAGACTATATTAAAAATTAATTAAAAAAATATATAAAATATTTTAAATATTTCCAGTTCTCCAAATAAAACTTCCAAAAATAATAACAGTTTTGCCTGTAAAAACTAAAAACTAAATAAAAGTTAATTAGTTTAGTAGATTTAAAGCAATTCTATTTAAAAAGTAAAGTAAAAAAATAAAAAAGATATTGATATTTAAAGAAACATTAAAGAATCTTATTAAAATAAAAACTAAAAAATGTATTTAAAAAATAATGAAAGCTAATAACAATAAATTTTTACTTAAAATAATTTTAAAAATTAATAATAATATAATATTTAAGAAAACTTATATACTAATAAAATTTAAGAAGATTTTATTTAATAATAAAAGAAATTAAATATCTAATTAATTGATAATAATTAATTAAATAACTTACAATCTTAATAAAAATTTAATAACAATTAATTATATTTATTAAGTTCAAATTAACTAATTTATTTTTATTAAAAACTTGTTAATAAAGCGAAGTATATTCATATTTGAAAAATCAAATAATTAACTATTACTTGTTTATATTTTATAAAAACTCAATCAAAGTACAATAAAAAAGGTCATCAACTGTTTTTTCTAGACTTAACTTTTTTTTTTGATTTAATTTTTATAATAAATTACTGAAAAAAATGTTATCAAATATTATATTATTATCTATTTAAGATGCTTTTTTATTTTTAAAATATACTTATTTTATTTTATTTAAAAAAAAAACAAAAAAAACAAACAAACAAATTTTAAAGTCTTTTGACTTTTTTTTTTTTACATTTATATATATTATGTATGTATATTATTTAGTTTTAACTAAGTAAAAATAAATTTGATTAGAGAAATTATAAAATATAGAGATTTAATATAAAAATTACATACTTATATAATTTTAATATTTATAAAAAGATATTAACTACATAAATCTTAAAGTTTTATATATTTATTTTTATCATTTTTTTTTTATAATAAACTTTTTTAAAAAAAAAAAACCAAAAATTCAATTATTTGTCGACTTTGTTTTTTTTTTTTTAAATAATAAATTAAAGAAAAAAAAATATACTAAATAGTATTTTTATATTATAAGATTAACTTTAAGATTTTAAACTATTATTAACTTAATATTTAATTTTTTATTATAATAATTAAAGATACTCTTTATATTAAATTTATTTTTATTTCTTAAAGGAAATTTAAATGTATATCTTAGGATTTAAACTATATTCTAAATAACTTATTTTTACTGACTCTATAACATATTAAGGGACATTTTGTTATTTTATAGCTTTTCCTTTTCAATATGGGTAATTTCTTTCGTATTTGTTCCTCGTAGAGTAATACATTTTATTTATTATTATTTTTGTTATAAACAATTTTTTTGTTATTTTAAACAGGAATAAAAAAAATAATTAAGATATCTATTTGTTATAATTAATTATATTATTGAATTTATTAAAATAAATATATGTTTTTATTTTCATTATATTATAAAAATCATGTATAAAAATATTTATAAATAAATAAATCTTTATACGTATTAAAAAAATTATTTTAGTAGTAAATACTTAAAAATAAAAATCTTTATAAAATGAATCATTAACTTAATCAAAATGAGATAATTTTAAAACTATCAGAAGTATAAAAAAATAAACTAAATACTATCTATAATTATAAAATAAAAATTATCCAATATATTTATTTCCTACTAAATATATTATTTATATTAAAAAAGGAATTATAAAAAGAACAAAATAAGAACTAGCAATTATTGATAATAATTCAATAGTTAAAATAGCAAATATAAAATTAACAATTATTAATTAATGAACAAAATACAAAATTAACTGAAAATAAATAAAAGGAGAAATAATAATGTAATACAGAGATATAAATATAACATAAATACTAAAATACATAAGAAAATCATGAAAATAGTTCATATTATTATACAGAAATAGACAATAAATCTTATGAAAAAATAAATCCTTTTTAATTATTTAGATGTCCAAAAAAATTAAGTTTTAAATAATATTTTTATATTTTTCTTTTTTTTTTTAAAAAAAAAAAAAAAAGTAAAAGGAATAGTTAATTTAAATAGATCAATTGAAAATTAAGATGAAATAAAAATAAATAATTAAGAAGAATAACTTAATTTAAATATTCCTTTTTCGAATTTTTTAATAATAGGATGTGATAAGTAAAATATTATTGAATAATTAGATAATCAAAACATTGATTTTGGAATAATACAACCAAAAATATTATTCTAATTAGATAATTAATAATAAAACATAGAATAATTTGCTTTTCCTTTTGGAATTGAACTTAAAAAATTCAAAATAAATTAAAAGAATATATCAAGTATAAAAGATATTATTTTTACTCCTCCAAAAATTGACTTAGCAGATAAGTTTTTTTTTTTTACTACAAAAAGTAATATCGAAGACGTTAAACATCCTATTTTGAATGCAGCAAATCCAGATAACTTATTATATTATACATGTTTAAGGGTTAAAGATTATAATGAAACAGTAATTTAAATATGTATATTTTATTATTTATTAAATTAAGATAAAATATTATATTTATATATATAATTTTTTTTTTTAAAAAAAAAAGACTTAAAATGAAGAATATTTTAATAAAATTAATTGGATGAATAGGACTTTTTGGAGAAACGCAAAAGTTTATTGTTTTGTAAGTTATTATCCAATTTTTTTCTTTATTTTCTTAATTATTATCTTCTATTGTTACTTAAATTAAACTTTCGAGATTAGAAAAGCTCTCTGATATAGAAAAAAATGATAAGCTTTTATATGAAATCGATAGTGATTATGCCCTTAAAATTATTGATAGAGAAATGCTTTTAAAATGGTAAAAACAATATATATTTGATTTTGAGAAAATACTAGAATTTAATGATCATTATGCAAAATTTTCATATTAAATTACTGACGAATTAAAAATTATTAATAAAAGTTTCAGTTTTTCCGTACCTTCTACTATAACAGCTTTAAATTTAGACACTTTTTTATATATTTTATTTGCTATTTTAAACGAATAATATATTATTTTTGTAAGCTAAAATATTTCTTTATTAACAAAAGCTATGTATGTAAAAAAAATTAAAATAAAATAATTCAATATATAATTTTATATAATAGAGCTTGCTTTTAAGCACTTATTTACCCTTTTAAATGGCCTCATCCTATAATTTATACTCTCCCAGAAAATCTACTTGTTTTACTATAATCTCCTATTCCTATGATTATTGGGTTAAATAGATATAGTAAATATTTAATTGATTAATAAATAACTGAATTTTATCCTTAATATATTTATGTTTTGCTTGATGAAGGATGTATTCTAACTGAAAATACTAAGTTTTATAATAATTATTTAAAATATAAACCATCTTTAAATATTAAAAATAATATTAATTAATTTTATAAATCTAATAATCCTGATTGTGGAAAAGAAAGCATTTACAAACTTAATTCATTTAATAAAATTTAATGTAGAAAAAGTTAACCTAAACATTTCTTTAATGAACATGAAGAGCATTTATATGAAAGCTTCATTTAAGTTGTTAGAGGCTAAATTCAAATTAATATTATTGATTTATTACCTAAAGTAGCACCTTATGAAGGACAAGTATTATTTTTTTAAATATATATGTATATATACCTTTTAGAATATTGATTATAAATAACTAAGTAAAATAGTAAGTCACAGTTGTAAAAAGGAAGATAAACATTTTTTAAAATAATTTTGTTAGTCTTAAATTTTCTCTTATTATTGCGAGGAATTTTATTGTGATAATTAAGAAAAGAAAAATTAAATAAAAAAAATAATTTAGTGAAAACATTATAAATTTATATTTTATTATATATATAGTTAATAAATATTCACATATACAAAAAAAAAATATGTTTACATCTATTAATTTATGGACATAACTTTTTTATATATATTATGGGGAAATATTCTTATATATATATTATATTTTTATAACAAAAAATCATTATATTTAAAACAAAAAATTATAATAAATTTTTTTTTATATCTTAAAATATTATCACGTGATCATTTTTTTTATTATATAAAACATCGCCAAAATCAATTTACTTTATTTTCAGCTAAAAAATAATAACATTATTCAAACTTACTTAAATACAATTAATGTGAAATACATTCTGTACAATATAGTCTATTTTAGCAATATATATATATCTAAAATACAAATTCTTATATTAATAGTTTAGATATAATTGAAATACAAATTTAATCATTTATATCAAATGTAGCTATTTTTTAAAAAAATTTAGATTAAAAAACATTAAAAAGTCTTGTAAATTATTTAATTATTATTTTTAATAATTTATTTTCGTTAAATAACCTTCGTGTTTATTTTTCTAAACTTTTAAACCAAATACTCTTCCAAGAAATATTCTAGCCCTATATTGAAGTAATATTATGACTTTTTTTGGGATTGTAATATGAAAATATGATGTGTTAAATTTAATATTATTATTAAATATATATAAATAAAAGAAAAATATTTTTTTATAAAATTGTATTAAATTTTTATTAATATATATTTTTTTCAATTATATTATTTTTATTGAATTAATTTTTAGATTTTAATTATTTCTTTTTACTTTTTTATTATTTCGTCTTATTGAATTTTTAATTAGTTACTTTGTGTTTCTATATTTTATATTATATTTAGCTTCTATTCTTCTAGATCTTCTTCATCCAAAATTAGTTTAGTTCTTTTTTTAGGAATCCAAGAAACATCAAGCTTTTATATTTTTAACCATATATAAGATTCATCTCCATTATATTCGGTAACTTCTTTAAATTTTAAATAAGCTTAATAAAATACATAATTCCACATTTTATGATATATCTTATTTTTTGTTAAATATATTTATATATATATATAATAAAAAAAAATAAAAAAGTTTCTTTTTAGTGTATACTTTAGTATGTTTAGTAAATCCTCCCAAATCACTTCCTCTATCAAGTGTTTATCTATCTAAACCACATATAAAGCAATATTTTTTTTAATCAATATCTCTTCTTTCGATTTTCTTTTTGAGTTCTCTAAATTTATCAATAACAAGTCCTCCCATCATATTAATAAGAATAAGAACTAGAAGAATGTTTAGAATATTATCATAAGCGAATCTTGTAAAATATTCTAACTTTAAACTATGATCTACACCAACATAATCATCTGCATTTTCTATAATTTTTAATGTTTTTTAGTCTTAAAGAAATGTCCCTATTTTATATATAATTTATTATTAAATAAGATTTAATTTTTTTAAAATAAAAACCTACTGCCCCTGTATTTTTAAAAGTATAATCAAAAGTAATAAAATAACATCTATAAAAACTTGAACAGTTATTATCAGGATATTAATCGTAAAAAAATATATAAGAAATCATTGTAAAATAATACTCGAGAATAAAAAAAAACAAAAAAGAATAGGCCATTTCAACTCTAGGTTCATATATTGATTTAATAACATTTATAAGAATTTCAGAACGCAAAAACTCACATAAAAGTCCACTATAAAGAAAAGGATGTAAAACTAAACCACCCAAAACAAAACATAATCTAAAGAATTAAAAAATTATGTCAAAATTTTAAAGTAACAAATAAAAAGAGTAGAAAACGTTGTATAAGAATATAAATGCAAATTTAATTATTTCAATTTTTTTTATATTTTTTTTCTTGATTTATGCACATTATATTAAAAAGAAACTCCTCCAAATACCTTATAATATTAAAGGAGCCTTTTTTATGAAATAATATACAACTAAAACACTTATAAAACCTAAATTAACTACTCCAATAGTAATAATTATACTCTCAGTATTTTAATACTCTTTTAAATACATAAATCTCGGATCATAAACTCTTGAGAATTGCAATTATTCTTAATAAATGGAAGAAGAAGGCTTTAAATCTATTGGATTAGGTACAAAATATTTCTAAGAATAAGAGGCTACAATAAGAATGTTAATTGCAATATTAAATAAGAAAGCTATACTTTCTAAAAGTTTATGATTTCCAATAATAAATCCAATTATTTTATAATTATTCATTAATCTTCTTATACGTTCCTCATGTGCCATTGTCTTCACTAAAATTTCAGATTAATCAAATAAATATGTAATTTTGGCTTTTGATGATGTGCGATCAACTTCGTTATTAAAATCATCTTTCTGTTCATTTGCTAAAGCAAAGCATAAAGGAATTTTGGGAAAATAAATGGTTTATAATTCATTATCTCGTATTATTTCTATTTAAATCGTCTTTTCTTTAAAAAAATATAAAGCGCTTTATAAAAGTTCTTTTTTCTCTTGTTTTTTTCTTTATTTTTGGAGTTCTTTATTTCCTTTATTGTCAACTAATTTATTTACATTATTTTTAAATTCCTTTTTATTTTATTTTTATATTATTTAAATTTATTTTATTTACTGATAATAAGCCTTTACTAAATTTTGTAAATTTTCCGAAAAAATTAATTCCTTTTTAATCTTTAAAATTAAACTCTTATTCTTATTTAAATTCATTTAAAATTTAATTTAAATTAATTTCTTCTTCATTTTCCTTATTTTCTTCATCTTCTTTTTCATTTTAAAAACCTTCCAAATTTTATAATCTTTGACAATTTACATAAAGTTAAATCAAAATATATAAAAAAAAACCATTTTCAATAATAAATTCAAATTTTTCTTCATTTTAATCATTAAAATCGATTTCTTATTCAATTTTATTAAAAAGATTATCGTTATAATCTCCTTAACCATATTTTTTATATAAAAAATATACTCTAATAAAATTATTAACTAAAACTTATATGGGAATTACCCTCATAATTCTTTCAATATACTAATTTTTATCCATATTGCATTCTAAAATACTCATTATACATATTAAACATTTGAATTTTATTTTGGCAAGTAATCCTGGATGAATTTCAATTTTTTTTTAAATTATATTATTATTATAATAATGATAATTATTAACATTATTATTATTATTATTATTATTATTATTATTATTATTATTATTATTTATTTCAATATTTTATTATTTTTAATTTTATTTTTTTTATAAAATTTCTTAGTTTTCTATTTTTTCTTCATTTTATGTTATTATATTATTTTCAAACGTATAGTTTTCTGTGTTTATTCTTTTTTATTCTATAAAAATAGTGTTTTTCTTTCTTTATGTAATATTTTCTTCTTCTTCTTCTTCATTTATTGTTTTTTATTTTGTATTCATTTCTGTATTGTTTTCTTTTTATATTATATATATTTTTTCATCTTCATTCAATACTTATACTATATATTCCAAAAACTTGGCATTTAAAACTGTTTCTTAATTTCCTTTACAAGGCCCTTATACAAATTCTGTTATAGTATCAAAACATTGTTCGATTTATGAATATGTCTATGTACTTATTTGATAAGACATTAATAGGTTCATTGTATTTTCTACTAAATCATAGGATGTTTTAGAATTTCTTTATTTTCTTATATATTCCTGTAAATCTATAAAATGTCCTTCACAAAAAAGTTTCATTAAACATAAAGTTTTTATTATTATTTAATCTGATTTAGAACCTGTTAAAATATTATGTCGTTTTATTATCGAATTAAGAATACAATTTATTTTAAAAAATAGCTTTTCACTGTTTGATTAGGCACATAAATATTCATATATTGTTTTTTAAACTGTTTTATTACCTCCTTTAAGGATTAAATTTATGAATTTTAACAATAAATTTCTAAAAAAATATATATATATATATATATATATATATATATATATTTTTATATTTATATTATTTTATTTTTTTTACAAATAATTAGAATCATATTCTCCTTCTTCCCAAAAAAGTGTTAATGAAATTTTTGTAGCATTTAATTTATTTAATTAAATTTATCTTTATATTAATATTGTTTTTTTATTTCTTCTACTTCTAAATTTTATAGATCCTTTCTCTCTTCAATATTAGATAATATTTCTATTTTATCAGAGAACTTTATAATATCGCAAAATAACTTTATTACAAATAATATCGTACTTTTTTGCACATTTTTTTGTTTCCAATATTCTAAAAAGTTTAGAATTTTTCCTAAAATATCATTAGATTCTAAAATAATGTCTTTTTGGTTTTAATTTTTAGTTTTTCCAAACATATTTTTGATATTAAGAATACTTAAAGGTAAAATATATCTATCTTATTTCAATAATTTTTTAATATTATTGTTTTTTTTCCTAAGTCTTTAACATATTACCAACATTCCATTTACAAGTTATAATTTTATTAATCATATTATTTATTGTCTAGTTTTTAAACAGAATTTTTATTTTTTAATCATGTTATTAGGATTAAGTAATATGGCTATTTTTTGTTTTATAGATTTAATTTTAGTTGAAAAATCTTTTCTAACATTCTATAATGTAATATCATCTCCAACCTCAGTATAGGATAATTAAGAAAAATATTAATTTTTTATTGGAGAAATTAAAGTTTATTCAGCTTTTTGATTTCCTAGACTTAATCCAAAAATACTATTAAAAATTTATATTTACTTTTCAATTTCAATTTCTACTTAGAAATCCTTTAGTGTGTATATTTACTTAAATAGATCATTCATTAAGTTTGCAAATTAATAAATTTTCTCTTGGTATATTAAGTCTTTACTTTTTTATGAATATTATAAGTCTTTTAAATGTTATTATGTATAGTAATTAAATAAAGGCAAAAACTTATCTAAAATATAATATTTTCCTTAATATGATTAATAGTTCATTAATTACAATTATTCGTTTGTAATTATATCTATAAATATATTAGTATATTAATAAAATTAATCTTAAAAAGGTTTTGAAGATACAAAGCATAGCAGTAAATCACATATCGCGCCTTTTAAAATAAAGTTTTGTATACTTTTTTTTTTATTTTTAAATATAATAATTATATATAAATATATACATATATATATAAAATTAATATACGAATTTTAAGTATTTTAATATAAATATTTTAATAAATTATTTGCAGTGACTTAATAACTAATATTATTTATTAAATATATATCTAATTAATCTCTTAAAGCTCTTTATATTATTATCGTAAATTTTTCTTTGTATTCTTATTAATCAATATCTATTATATAAAATTTCTAATGAAGTTTTTACTTTTTTTCTTTTGGTTTAAAAGGCTATTTTATTTTTATATCAAATAATATATTTTTTTATAATTTTTTATACATTTATTCTACTTGCTTTATTATTATCAAATAAAGCCTAAAGTATGGATTTTTAAATTCTAGTACAATCATCTTAATAATCTTACTAATTTTATATAATATTAATGATTATATCATAAATATCTAAAAATTGAGTGTATTATCCGTGAATAGATATTAATTCGACAAAATATAATAAATCATTTTTATCTATATTTTATAAAACGTTAAAATTATCTTTCAATATTTCTTACATAAATTCGACTTATCCAATATTTATTTTTTTATAATTTTATAATTGCCTGAAGTATTAATTAAAAAATAATCTTATTAATTTAAAAAAGTAAACAAAACAAAAAATTAACTTTTATTATTATTGATTTTTACGTTTAATTTTCTGTATTATATTTACACATTTGGCTTAAAATTGTAAATGAAATCATTAAAACTTTAAGAATGTTTTCATTATATATTTGTTTATTTTCAAGAACATCTAAACCTTTTTCAATAAGTTAATAAATGCATTGATTACCTCCTATACAAGAGAATATATTTTAAACCATTTTTGTTTTATTACTTTTAATTAATTTTTTTTTAAAAAAAATAATTATATGCCTATAGAGATATAATTACATATCTAAATTATCTTTTTTAAAAATACTTTCTATATTAAATAATTTAACAATTGTTTCTTGTATTTATTCATATTCTTTAGGAAAATTTGTATAATCATCAATATTAAGCCATACATTACTATTTGAAGTGAGATTTTTAAGCATTTTTATTTAAGATTTTAAATTAATATAGATAATTTTATCTTTTTCTTAGAATAATAATTCCAATTAATTTATATATTTTATAAATTCTTCTTTTTGATTTAAACATTTGTTAATCAAATTGAGTAAGCTTTTTTTTAATTCATCATATTGTGTATTATAAAAGGAAAATAAAAGAATTTCTAAAAATGGTCTATTTAAAATTTCATCAAATTATCTAAGATAGTATTTAGATTCTGTGAAATTTTTAATTTTTTCTTATTTTACTTATTATCCTATTTAAGTTAATCCAGAAGGTAAAACGAAAATAATTTCTTCTTCAATTTTATGAAATTCATCTTTTTTGAAATTAATAAGTTTCTTTTAAAATATATTTTTTTTATTTTTTTATTTTTCTAAAAAAAATAAAATAAAATAAATATTTTTATTTATTTTTACATTTCTAAATAAACAAATTAAATTTTCTATAAAAAAATCTTATCTCAAATCTAATAAATAAATAAAAAAATCACAAATTTTTATTTTTATTTAATTTTCTTATTCAAAATACTCATTTTCTTCTTTAAATGAATAAGTTTTATTAACATATCTTTATAATACTTTATTTAGATTTTATATTTTATATAAAATACTATCTTATATCACTAAACTTTAATATCCACCACGTTCTATATTTTCATTTTCATTATTATTTACTTAATCAAGAGAGCTTTCTTTTTATAATAAAAAATCAGAAGAAGCTCTTTATTTAAAAAAAATTTTCTTATGTTTATTATTTGTTTGATTTTATTTATTAAACTCCTCATATTTTCTTTTTAAGTTGAGCTTTTTTACTTCAGAAAAATAAATATAATCAAATTCTAGTATAATGGCAAGAACTTTTATTAATCTTTCTATATTTTTGAAGTATTATTCTTGATTTTATTCATTAACAGAAAACTAATTAAATTAAAGCATTTTTAATAAAGTATTTATTGCTTCATACATAAAATTATCATATATAATATTTTATTAAGAACAATATAAGTTTTCTATTTTACTTTCTAAATATTCAATTAATATTTTTTTTAAAATCTCTAATTACTGACTTTCTTATTCTTATTTTTTTCTTTCATTATTGTTTAATTTAATCAAAACATTACATTTCTTTATTATTTTACTTATTGTACTTGTTAATAAATTTCTCATTTAACTTTATAAAATAGCTTATTATTTTTTTAAATCAATTTTTAAAGTACGAACTAAATTAGGAACAGCAAGTTTTTAGTTTGGATATTTATTTATATGAAGCGATGATATCATACGTAAAAATATGGCACATAAATAATTATCTATATTTACATTTTTTATTATAAATTCAACACATGTATTTAACTTAAATATTTACTAAAATTAATTATATGCATTTTAATTCCGGTCTTTACATAGACTTGAATATAAGTCTAATTAGTTTTTGAAATATTTATATTATTTTTCTTTTAATAAAGTTGATAATAACTTTTTTATTTGTTTTTTTTATTTTTTAATAATTATATTTTTTTACTTAGTTTTCTTCCATAAATTTTTATAAGGGTATTTCTTTTACTTTGTTTTTTTCATCTTTTAATCTTAGTATAAATTCGTTTTTTTCTTTATCTAAACATATCTAATAAAAATAATCTAGAAAATTTCCTATTGTATTAAATATCTTTTTTTTATTTATTTTATTAAGTAATAATATATATATATATATAGTGAAAAAATAAATTAATACTTAATTAAAAATGTATTATTAATTGTTATATATTGCTTTATTATTAAGGACACAGCAGTTTCTTAAAAAATAAAGAACTCCGTTCATTTAATATCTTGGAAACTATCCTATTTTTTGAATAATTTATTGTAATATATTTTATGAATCTATCGTATTTAATAATCTTTAATTATTTAACATATTTTATAATATGTTAAAATTCTTACAGAAAATATCATTAATAGTTTAACAAACGAAATCTCCATATCCAATATGAGGTAATAAAATATGAATAAATTTGAAAATATACAATTAGTTTTATTCATTTAATTTACAAATTTATTTCAAAACAATATATAATTTATAAGATAATCCATATTTTTTGCAAAATAATTCTTTTAAAAACTTCTCATGATATAAAGCTTTTTTTTAAAAAAATATTATAATAATAATAATTTAAAATAATAATAATAATAATAATTTAAAATAATAATAATAATATTAATAATAATAATAATAATAATAATATTTATATATTGTATTCTAAAACTTTGATTTTAATTATTATTATATTCATATTCTATTGGCCATTATTCTTTAGTATAAATATCTAATATATCATGTAAATTATTATTGTTATGTTTTTCAAATTCTTCTTTTGATGGAAATATAAAACTTAATAAAAGTAAAAGTATTCCTAAAACATACTATTCTCTAATTAGCTTTAAATTTTTAAATTTAAAAAAAAATCATAAATTTAAAAATTAAATATATTTAAAAAACAAATTTATATATAAAACATTCTATCTTATTTAACTTGGAAGTCCATATTCTTAAGAAGAGTCAATTAAAGAAATAAGACTATTATTCACATATTATTCAAACTATTTAATAATAAAATTAATATTAGATAGTGTACTTCTAATAGAATTTCTTTCTTTCCAAAGTTGTTCAATTGTTTTACCCTTGATTATATTTAAATTTTTAGTAGCTTTTAAAAATACTGGTAAAGAATACATAAGAAATTTACTATCCCAAGTATCTTCAAAATCAGCTCTTAAAATATTAAAAGTATTGTCTTTGTTAGCTTAATGTTTTAGTTATTTAAAAAAATAAAAAAATAAAAATATACGTTAATTATCTAAAGTTGGTTATTTATTATAAATTTTATTTTCTTGATTTGTATAATAATTATCAATCATATTAATATCTTTCCAACTTATCCACATTCCCGAATGTATATTTTGTATTCTATAAAAATTATAAATACTAACGAATTTCTAATTATTTGCATTATTTTATTAATTTATTATCACAAATTAAAAAAGCGAACCCTTATCATTTTGAGAAGAAAGATCTAATATAAACTAATCCTTTTATATTTAAATAAATAATTAAATTATATTAATTTGAAAAATGCAAATATTTTTATAACATACTTTTTCTTATTTTACTGTCAAATATTTCCCTATACTAAAATTTTTTAATTTAAATTTAGAGTCCAGATATAATATACCACCTTAACTTACATTTTCAGCTTCTATTTTCCATAGACCATTCATGGCTTTATCCTAGACAAACAGAAGGCAATGATTTTAAAATAATTAATTTTTAATTTTATTTATTAAATTATCATTATATTCGATTTCGTATTTTAAAGTTGGATTTAATTCCAAATCTTATTTCCCCATTTCTAAATAAACTTAATTATTTTAACTATTATTTTCAGTTAATTATTTATATTAATCGAATTTTGCTGATACTTAAAATATATTGTTATCTTAAGATTACATATCATTTTATAAATTTAAATTTGACTTTTAATGTAATAGAGTATTAGATTTAATAATTAAATTAGTCTCACTTGCTATATTAACTAACTCTTATGAACGTAATTTGTGATTAGCAGGTTCTCCGTATTTGTTTAAACTTTAAATATCATTTGTTTCTTCGTCCTCATCTTAATTTAAGAGTATTTTATCAAATTTATTGTTTATGTTATTGACTGAAAGACATAACTTTTTGTTTTTTTTAAATATTTTTTTATTCTTTTTTTTTTTTTACATTTAATTCAGATAACTTTAACCAAATTACATCCCCTATTTATAGACATTTTTATTAATTTTAATGTTCTATAAAAGAGTATATATTAACACTTTTTTTTTTTTTTTTAAATTAAAATAAATATATACATCCATCTCCTTGGTATTTCTAAATTTGCATATATTTTTATGTGACTAAAATCTTCTGAAATAGATTTTTGACTTTCTTTTGATTTCTATCCTTAATAATTTGTATATAAATATGGTTTTCTATTATGAATTAAACTTGAACAACATATATTTAATACATCTCTATTCATAACTATATTTGAACGTTATTTTTGTATTTTTAAACATGATATAAATCTAAAAGAACACTTTTCGTTTGGAAAATCTATTAAATTAAAACTATATTTATTAAGTTTTTTATTTTTAAATTTAAAATTAGATTATTTACATATAATTTTCACTTTAATCTTTCTCTAATTAAAGGAATTTCATTGAATTTATATGAACTAAATGAAAACTAGAAGTAAACGAAATTTATGTATCCTTTAATTTATTAAATATTGTAGTATTAGAATTTAATTCTGTAATTAATCCCTATTATAACTATCTTATTTTATCTTTCCGTTTATTAAGAGCTTTATTTTTTTTAAAAAAAAAAATATAAAAAAAAATTAAAAAAATGATATTATTTAATATTTTTTAAAATTATTTTTGTTAATAGGTTTTTAAA